CAGTGTGAAGTTCTGGATACATGTCGACAGAGATACACACTTCCTGCTGTTGAATTAGAGATGAGTGTGTTACGTAAGTTAATCTCACAACATTGTTTTTCGGCCAAATTTCTTCAGTCATTTATGTTGATTGTGTGCAAATGTTTACAATTACTCAAAAGTGAGAAAAATATTTTCTTTAATCTCTATTTAATATTAAGTTATATTAAGGGATATATTAAGGGATTAAGGGATATTAAGTTAGTTGTTTGTTTTATTTGTTTTCTTAGAGCATATCTTGTATTTTAAAAACATTTATATTTTGATTATTATTTTATTAAAATTCATTTCACAAATGAAAATGTATTTATTAATCTTAATAAATTAAATCTAATAACATTTTATAAATGTAATAAAATCAAATAAATAAATGAAACCCACAAATGAACAAAAATTATTAAGAAACTAATGTTTCTGTGAGCAGCAAACTTTCCAGTAAAAACGTGATGTTCTGGCTTTGCTTTACTTATTTGGTGTCGTTAGTGTTTTTCAGTTGCAGAAGCATGAGGGTTTGAGTCGGCATGCATGGCTGTGGCAACTCGTCATAGTATTGCTGATTGTCATGGTAACACAAACAATGACAGTTTGTATACTTGGCAGAGAACACATTTAGGTCACGATGTGCACGTGTGTTAAAACTACACATACATTATCCTTTTCTCCTGAACACCCTGAGATCTGTTTTTTCTCTCTCGCATCTCTTCATCCTCAAAGGACCACAAACAAAACATTTTGATAACTTTCTCTCTTTAAACAGTTTCAGGCAGTTGATTTAAAATGTGAGTGATGATGATGTCCAATCATGTAACTCAAAATGCAAAAATGCCAAAGTGTTGACCTGGTTCTCATGAAGGTTTCTAATTGGACAATGGGGTTGTGCGGTAGAGGAGGAGCCACAAAAGTACAAACAAGAATGGCCACACTCACACAAATCAACAAAAATAAGAGCAGAACAGCTCCAGAGATAAAGAAAGCGCAGAAAAAACACAAAATGTAAATGGATGACAACGAAACAAAAACATGACTTTAACGTGGCATTAAAAAGCCATAAAGACCAACTGCAGTAACAAGAACAGGAAACTACCAACAGGAAATATAGCAACATGCAAAGAACTACAACAGTCCACAAAAAAGCTACAAACAGATGCAAAATGACCAAAAACCCCAAAATGTTTAACAATGATACAGAAAACATTAACAAATAGACACAAAAAGCAATAAATGAACACAAACTACCCAAAAGGTAGCAGAAAATATTCACAAAAAAATAAAAATCACAGAAACAAAGTGACTTAAAGACCACAAAGCGTTAGCATAGCCCAACAAATAGTATAATACCTCAAAGACAGACACAAAAACAGCAATGCACAAAAAGAAGAAGAAGAAGA